GCTCTTAGATGTAAGTAATCGATCACGTGATCGATTTGGAAAGAATAGGTTGGTTATAATGTTGTGTAGATTTGAAGGGGCTGAAACGGGAGAATGATACGCCTGTAGAGCGAGCACCGTTGAGGCAGCGGACTGAGGTCGTTGATCTGGAAAAAGATATTGGAAAACGGAAACTCATCACGGGTGAGTGGAGGTGGAGTTATTGTCATTTGCTGGGTGCGGGGATCGAACCTGGGTCCATTCTATTCGGCGGTTGATTATTTGGCGCATATGTTCAGAGCGCACAGTTAAGAAGCATCAAGGAGGATACTGGTGCGAGGTGTGTGAGTGCTTGTTGAAGGATAGTCAGTCGTAAGTAGTGGCTGCTGTGGTAGGAATGGTGACGGTGGTGATGGTAGGTATTTGGATCATCTCAATGGCCGGGATCACAATAGGAACTTGGGCATGAATATGCGAGTGGAGAAGGTGCGTTGAATTGTCGTGATAGAACACATGAGGTCGGAATTGGGGGTCTGTAGATGGCTCGGTGTGGGAGCACCAACTTAGTGATTTGTTGGGGTAAAGTTTGTGAGAGATCAACTATTGATGAGATATAGAGAAATGAAGGATGTGCGTCACTTGCCCGACCGTCCAGGTTTCTTTGGCGAGGCTCTTGTAGTTTTGATGAGGTCCGGTAGCTCTCTCGAACGGTTCACAAGGAATCTAACTTAACGTTGTGAATTTTACTTCTGGTCAATTATGTTGTCTTTGATCGTAGGAGTGAGTGCGACGCGTGTCAATGTCTAGGTTAGTGTTGATCGGGTGAAGGAAAGGCTGGAGGAGATGAAGAGAGTGGCTAGGGAGAAGGCGCAGAAAGGTGGGGAGTTGATACTTGAAACGCTCCCATAGAGGGCCTGAGGGGACCAGGAATGTCCAGCTAGTGGTCGTGTTTTGGTGAACTCGAGATTGGAGCTCATCGGTGTTTTACGTTCTGAGATGGTCGCATTTTGATTGGGTTTTGTTTTGGTCGTCTTCGCGTGTTCGTGAAATGGCGAGTAGTGTATCGGAATTCCCCAGTCGATGGTTTTTGTTCAGCAACAAAGGATGACGTCATTGATAGAGAAGCCGTAGAGGAGCGGTTGGAGCACATCAAGAGGGAGGAGGAGAAGGATAAGTAAGGCGGCGAGGTGAGAGCTATCGATAGTGTTATGGTGGTGGCATTGTAGGCAGCGAAAGAAGGAGAAGAAGAAGCTGAAGAAGCAGAAGAAGCGGGAAGCTCTGTACGGGCCGGGGTATGGTGGGATGAAGGAGGAAGAAGGGGAGCTTGATGCTAATGGGGGCGGCGGAGCGGTGAGCTTCTACTGCTGATTTTGATGGCCTTTATATGATGAATGGTTTTGGTCAGACCAAAGAGAGCTCCCATGATGAGCTGATGCGCATTATGGGGATATCAGGCTTCGGAGGGAGTTGAACGTTATATTCAGACGCACTTACTTAGGGTGTTGGGTTGGATTTAATCGTGTGTTGAAGGAGGGATGGTATGGGAGTTATTATTAGGCTGGAGTGAAGCTATTCATGGCTTGCTTATTTTTGATGCTTTGACGACGTTGATG